AAAAAAAATTCTGGCGTGGTCAAAAAAATCTGAAAAAAATTAAAAAAATCAAAAATATTATTATGGGGCCCTCCAGAGCTCCTTGCAAAAAAACTAAATAAAAATTGAAATAAAAAAATTTTGGCGCTGTCAAAAAAATCTAATAAAGATTACAAAATCAAAAATAATAATACGGGAGCCGTTCCAAACTTTCAGCAAAAAATAAAAAAAAAGATATTCTGGCGCTGTCAAAAAATCTGAAAAAATACAAGAAATAAAAAATAATATGTGGGCCCTCCTGAGCTTTTGGCAACAAAATTAAACAAAAAAAAAAAATTATGGCGCTTCCAAAAAAATATGAAAAAGTTTCAAAAATCAAAAATAATCGGGGACCTTCAAGAGATCTCTTTGAAAAAAAAAATTAAAATTCCGGCGTTCTAGAAAAAATGTGAAAAAATTCCAAAAATCAAAAATAATAATATGGGCCCTCCTGAGCTCTTGACAAAAGAAAAAAAAATTCCGGCGTTTTTTAAAAATGTTTTGCCATTTCCCGGTCTCAATTTTCAGTTTTGGGTCCCTTTTTGCTATTTCCGGGTCCCGTTTTGCAATTTCCGGGTCTTTTTTTTGCCATTTCCTGGGTCCCGTTTTGTCATTTCAGGGTCCCGTTTTTGCCATTTCCGCGTCCCTTTTTGCGATTTTTGTGTCCCTTTTCACCAATTCCTGCGTCCCATTTTGCCATTTCAGTGTCCCGTTTTTGCAATTTCCACATCCCCTTTTGCCATTTCTGGGTCCAGTTTTTGCCCGTTCTGGGTCCCCGTTTTGCCATTTCCGTGTCAAGTTTTGACACTTCAGGGTTCCGTTTTTGCCATTTCCGGGTCCCTTTTTGCCATTTCCGCGTCCCTTTTTGCCATTTCCGGGTCCCTTTTTTGCCATTATTGGGTCCCATTTTGCTATTTCAGGGTCCATTTTTGCTATTTCTGGTCCTTTTTTCCATTTCCGGGTACCCGTTTTTGGCATTACCGGGTCCCGTTTTGCCGTTTCCTGGTCCCGTTTTGCCGTTTCCTGGTCCTTTTTGTCATTTTTGGATCCTTTTCCATTTCCAAGTCCTAATTTTGCCATTTCCGGGTCCTTTTTTTGCCATTTCGTGTCCCATTTTGCCATTTCTGGGTCCATTTTCTGTAATTTCTTGGTCCCTTTTTGCCATTTCCAGGTCCCTTTTGTGCCATTTCTGGGTCCTTTTGGTCATTTCTGGGTCCCATTTCTGCCATTTCTGT